CAGTTTGGAAGCCGCAGAAAAAGCCATGCAGCAGCAGCGGAGGTGCCCTGGCTCTGTGGGGAGAGCTGGGCCAGGGCATTGTGAGGCTGGGAGGCGCGTGAGCGAGAGCAGAACAGCCACTCTCCAGCCATGCAGAGCGCCATTCACTGGCATTTTGAAGGCGCCAAGCCGTGGGAGCTGGGCGGTGGCGAACAGGCGCTCATGCGGCTTGGTGATACCCCTAGGTCAGTGAATGGCGTTGTGCATGGCTAGAAAGGGGATTTGCCGGGTGGCTGCTCATGAGCGTGGTTGCTTCATGGCTGCTGTGTTGTGCTGCTGTGACAGCACAACACAGACATTTGCCCATGAGGCTGTGCCCGGCTCTTTGGGATCCCGCTTGCAAGATAGCAACCGCCCGGCAGCTGGGCACAGAGCCACTCCCAACCTAGCGGTATCCCAAAGGTGCCAATCAACACAATCACCTTTGCCTTCCCCCGGTTCCTGCGGCTTGGCACCTTCAGGATACCGCTAGGTCAGTGATGGTGCTCTGCCTGGCCGGGGAGGATGTCCAGGGGGCTTATTTTGGGTGGGTGGGGGCTTATATTTTTGCCCACTCGAAAAATGTGGCAAGGCTTTAATTTCAGGACATGTTGTATTTTCGGGGAAACACGGTAGGAAAATTGGTTAAATTACCCCCCAATGCAGTGCAGCCCCACCCACCACCACCCAGATGCCCTGGCTTCCCACAAGCATTTCTTTGCCTACCTGATTTCCAACTCTATTGCATTTCTCCATCATGTTTCTTGCTGCATCCTGCCTGCTCCTTCTCGGTCAGAGCTGGAATGCCACTGTGTTTAAGTGCTGATAGATGCCAGCCTTCTCACGTGTGGGCCTGGGCCTGATATTGGGCCTGTTTCAGTGCCTGGTGCCCAGATGCCCTCGCTTCCCCCAAGCATTTCTTTGCCTACCTGATTTCCAGCTCCGTCGTGTTTCTCGCTGTTGTATGCAGGGAAGGAAATTTGTGGGGCTAAAAAAAAAGTTCAGTCAATCAATTTCAACTTCACGAGATCTTTTCATCCACAATCAGATCATATTCGAAATCTCTTTTATTTTTCACTTTCAGATCTAAGGGTTAAAGTGGGTGAGAGGTTATGAATATCTAAACCAACCTCATTTTATTTATTTTTTGCTAACTTTCATCTATGGATATTCTTCTCTGTAGAAAAGACTCCAAAATTAATGCCAGAAGAAGGAAGTATGTATTATCCAAGGGTCCAACACTACAGAGAACTCCTAGATTCCTTGCCTATGGATGCATACACACATGGCTGCATTTTACATCCTGAATTAGCAGTAGACTCCATGATTCCTGCGTATGCCACGACCAGAATTCGCAGTATGTACAAGAATTTTACATGTACTAGTCATCTGTGCTGTTCAAATTCATTTTAATTTTCTAATTTAAATGATTTTATCAAATTTATATTTATTAAAAATCAACTTATCAGCCTGGTGAAATAAGCAACATATGGTGTTTAAAAAAAACATTTTAGTTGACTTTCAGGATTAATTCTGCATTACAGATGAGGTTTCACTGAATTGTTCACCCAAGATATTGTAAATCCATACATTTTTACGAAGTAAAATATTTTAACATGATAAACGTTACTTAATTTATTTGACAGTTTGATGTTTAATAACCTTAACTGCTTAATTGCTGTTTTGCAAGGCCAAATAGGTAATACTGAATCTGAATTAAAGAAACTTGCTGAAGAAAATCCAGATCTGCAAGAAGCATATATAGCAAAGCAGAAACGACTCAAAGTAAGAACAGAATATGTATAATTAATTAAAATGGATCTAGGATTGCTCAGAATATTATATTAATGTGAAATGGCAAATATTGCATTCTTTTCTGCTTGAAATAATTCCATTTTAAAAGAGATTATATACATGTATTTTGTGTCATTTAGTAGTCTTAAAATTGTTTGCTAAGATTCACAATATTCAAGAGAACTTATCATTTTTTTTGCAAGCTAATATGCAATCTATTTATTTCCTGTAGTCTAAATTGATGGACCATGATAACATAAAATACTTACAGAAAATACTAGATGAATTGGAAAAAGTTTTGGATCAGGTTGAAACTGAGTTGCAAAGGAGAAATGAAGAAACACCAGGTAGAATATTATTTGCAGTCAATTCTGTCTCATTTCTTTAGATTCTGCAATGTTGAATAATCACTTAGTAATCCCTAGACTGTTTCAAGTCAAGTAATGCTCCAATTTGCCAAACCATAGCAACAAATAATCTAGAACTAATGGTTACACACATTTAATAAGAATATTAATTTCATGCAATAGAGGGATCTTTGCATCATATTGCATTTTATTAGTCTCTAATTATTTATGCCTTTATTTTTGATATCAGAAAATGGACATCAACCTTGGCTCTGTGGAGAATTCTTTAGCTTGGCTGACGTATCCCTTGCTGTAACACTCCATCGGCTGAAGTTCATTGGACTAGCAAGGAGAAGCTGGGGCAATGGAAAGCGGCCTAACTTGGAAGCCTATTATGAGCGTGTCTTGAAGAGACAACCATTTCATAAGGTTTTGGGACATGTCAACAACATACTAATCTCAGCAGTTCTTCCAACAGCATTTCGAGTAGCAAAGAAGAGGGCACCCAAAGTGTTTGGCACAACTCTTCTGGCTGGCTTTTTAGCAGGAATAGCATATTTTGCATTTATGTTTGCTCGGAAGAGGTTTGCTAACTTGCTATTATCAATAAGAGGAAGGCAGAGTTATCTGTAGATGCTTCCTTGCTAGATCGGAATTGGAGTACTTTATTTTCCAAAGAGGCTGATTTGAAGAATAATGGTCCAAAATATTGTCTTCTATTATTAGGCCTTTTTCTGATTGTAGAGATACATTAGTAATATAAAAGAATCTTGCAAATTTAAGACAAAAACACAACGATTAATTTCAAACATCTTGCTAAGCTATTATATGTTCAATATGATTTTTATTTAGTGTAATACATCCACCAGCCACTATGGTTCATAAACTATTGTTGAGGGGTTCCCAGTTGTAACCAATGTTTCAGTAACCTATGAGTAAAAATACCCCACAATTAGCTCAATGTATGAAACAGCCAGTAGCTTGTTTGTGGAATTGAGGAACAATATTTTTCATGCTTCATGCTGCCTTTATTTTTTTATTTTTTTATAATATATTTATTAATTTTCAATATCAAACTTTAAAATAAAAATTAACAAAAAAAGGGAAAGGGAATTAAACTAAAATCAAGTGACAAAAATATATCAAACAAATTTATAAGAAAAATGACCTCTATCTTTCTTTTGGTACAGTGATAATAATAATACAACCACCTTTTTCTTCGTTTAAATAAATAGCACTAATATACAAAACACCTTAAAATACTAATAATCAACTTACTGAAATCCCCAATATGCACAAAATATTCTTCTCTTAGTTTTATCTAAGAAGTAGTAAATTATTAAATAGAGATCTCTCTGTTTAAAAAGCTGCATTATTTATCTAGTCAAACCCAGTCTAATCTTCGGATCTCAAAGTCAAAAGTTGATTTTTCTCGTTATTCTAGAAGAAAACTAATAATGGTCTCCAAGTCATAAGAAATTTAGTCAAATCATGCCACCTTTCTTTACCTACAGAAGAATTTATCTGGAGAACAGGGCTAGGCGTCTGAGCAGGATGGGATGAAGGGTGCAGAGTTGTGGGTTAAAGATGGATTTATCCAAAACTGGATAGATAAAATTTTCTGTGCAGAGCCCTTCATATAATTTTGATTAAATCCCTCCCCATCACATCACTCTGCATATTATCTCTTTATGTTAAGGTGAGTCCCTACCCCTTCATTTTTCCTATACTTACTTAGTTACTTAGTTACTTAGTTAGTTAGTTACTTACTTACTTACTTACTTACTTTATTTATTTAGCCATCTTACCAATAAACAAACTCTAGGTGACTTACAAATGATAAAAAAGATAAATACAGAAACAATTACAATTTAAAATGCCACAAAAAGTTATGTCATTTATAAAAGTCATAATATTGAGTCATTATATCTTACCAGTGAATTTGTTAGTAAGCAATGGAAGTTTATACCTGTTATTTTAATAGATTGTTGTACTGCGATTGGCTCATAAGGCAAGTCCATTAAATGTTGGCTGACACAGTGACACATGCTTCAATTACAGCCTTAAAAATAAATGATTAGATAGATATTTGATACATAGCAGGTAGGATTTCAAGGCACAAATTAAAGTTATGCCTATGTTTGTGTGATTTGGAAACATTTATGCACATTAGTGATCTATAATCTATTTATTTTGAAGCAGTGTGCATTTTATACTGGATTTTGTGCAGATAATATATTGGTAATTTTTTTTCTTAACATAAACATATGTTTCGTGCTAGTGTATTAATGCCATCTTTGATGTACTTCAGAAAATATCTGTTTCACAAATACAGTTTCTTCAGAATAAACATGAGCACAGTGTTTTGACTTTCATGCTTTTTTCAAAAAAGTAATTAAAATTGGTTAAGCAAACATTAACTTAATTGTTAAACACAACTATGATAGAATCTTGAATTTCCATCATATGCCATGATGGTTGCAAATCATCATGAAATCGACCCGATTTTATGATTTTTATTTGTTCAGTCGTTAAGTGAATGCAACAGTTGTAAAGTTGTAAAGTGAGTGTTGCAGTGGTAAAACAAACACATTGTTTGCAGTGGGCATTTTTTTGCCAGAGACTGGGAGTAGATGTTGATTTCCAGCAAAATATTGCAGAAGTGGTATAGGCTTTCCTGCCTAAACAGGAAGTTGGACTAGAAGACATACAAGGTTCAAGCTCTGTTATTCTATTCTATTCCATTCTATTCTATTCTATTCCTGTGACCTTGGGATATTGCAAATGGCTACTTATGTGTCCTGGTGACAATGAAGTGGTGGTGATAATCAGAACTTTGCCTCTGGGCCCCAAGTAACCTTTGGGGGCAGGTCCCTCATAACTTTGAGTGGTCTTTAAGCAACTGGTCATTAGTAGAGGACTACCATTATATCGCAGTGTGAGACATTGTGCACAAATGTCAAGAGGAGTCTTCCCATCTATCTTTCCCTTTATCCAGTATTGCAAGATTATGAATCTTTCCATTGTAGGTAACAATGGCAGGAGGAAGGATAAATGAACACTGAGGCCTGTTTGTTTACCAGTGTTTTAAATCTTGTTCTGATGCCTGGGATAGAACATCTGGGATAGGCAAGACATCATATTCTTTTCTGATATTCCAACTGATTTTTATCCATTTGGAAAATCGTTTATTAGTTTTTAGCTATTGATGAGCAAACAATAATCCTTCATGCACCTTGAAGATTATTCATGTCACTGAAGAAAAAAAACATCTCACCATTTGGGAAGCACAGCTCTTTACCATATCATATTGTTTCTCAGTATAATCACCATGGAATGCTGGCTAAAGAACCATCTGTTTCAGTATCATTCTACTATCAAAGTGGGCTTGGATACTTGGATCAGGTCTGCATTTTCATGTGAATATATCTATTGCAGCCAGTGGCTTAAGGTCTGTTTCTTCAGAAATGCTAGAGCTGAATCTTATAAAACACTGGCATGGACTTCTAATTGTAGTACAATATATTTAAATCAGCTGAAACAGACCATAATATATCATTATAGTTTGGGTCCCCAAAGAACGTTTTGGAGACCCAAACTATAAAGTCATTGCAAAAGGTTTGAATTTGTCTTACTTTGACACATTTTTCAATTAAATACAATGTTTTCCAGGACTACTTTTCCCCACTGAAGAATTTTTGAATGTTGTTGTTAACCACATCTGATATAAAGTTATAGTAAATGGTTATATGTTTTGGAAGTTTTGGGGTTTGTGCAATATGGGATTTGTGTTTCTAAAAGGGTTTGGATGATTCCCTACTTGTGAATGGAGCCAAACTTTCTCTAGGGTCATTATCTCATTATCTCTATCTGGCAGGAATGGGAATGAGTCTCAGGCAGGTTTCTTTGTTATCAGAAAGAAAGAAAAACAGCACAGCAATTTAAGGCTAGAAGGCTACTTGGAGGTCATCTAGTCCAACCCCCCTGCTACAGGAGGAAACCTTACATTGTATGGATTATTTTGGTCCCTTTAACAGAGAGGAAAATTGCCAGAAAGGAGGAGTTTACTAGGACAAGGCTGCTATGCAGAGGAAGGCAGAGATAGTCCTTGATTTATGACTATAATTGAGCCCAAAATTTTGGTTGCTAACAAGAGCATTGTTAAGTGAGCTTCACCACATTTTACCCAATCCATGACATCTTCTGGTGAGTGACATCAAGTTGGCCACTAACATCCAGTCACATGACTGCCAAGCCACTACTACCTGGTCACATGACTGCCAAGTCGCTCCTATCTGGTCACATGATTTCTGAGCCACTCCTCCCCTGGTCACATGACCACCGAGTCACTCCCACAAAACAGGTCACACCTATAGAATAGGTTCTAAAAATTTTTGAGACCCACCACTGAGTAAGGACAATGAATTAAAATACATTATGTTATATCATGTTTTTTTTTTCTGAGACTAGATCTTCGGATGGGACGAAGTTAAATTTATAAATCTATATATATATTTTATATATATATATAAATTTTAAATATATAAATATAGATATAAATATTTTATATATAAAAATATAGTCAAGCTTAAGAAACATATACTATTGCATGGGTTTTTATAATATATATATATATATATATATATATATATATATATA